CGGGTAGAAGTACTATTCGCCCAGGTTTGCTTTTTGTAGTTTAACATAAGTAGAACCTTTTCGCCCAGGAGATTCAACATCCTTTCAGTAATACAGGGTGCCAGCCCTCGGTTACACTCCTATCTATAATATAGGGTACCATCCCCTTGTTAGGCTCATTTCAATAATACAGGGTGCCAGCCTCTGGTTACACTCATTTTAGTAATACAAGGTACCAATCCCTGGTTACGCACCTTTCAGTAATACAGGGTGCCAACCCCTGGTTACACTCCTTTATGTAATACAGGGTACCAACCCCTAGTTACATTCCTTCTTAGTAATACATGGTGCCAACCCCTGGTTACACTTCTTTCAGTAATACAGGGTACCAACCCCTGGTTACATTCCTTCTCAGTAATACAGGGTGCCAACCCCTGGTTATACTTCTTTCAGTAATGGAGGGTGTCAGCCCCTAGTTACACTCCTTTCAGTAATACAGGGTGCCAACCCCTAGTTACACTCATTTCTGTAATACAGGGTACCAACCCCTAGTTACACTCATTTTGGTAATATAGGATACCAACCCCTGGTTACATTTCCTTTCGGTAATACAGGGTACCAACCCCTGGTTACTTTCCTTCTCAGTAATAAAGGGTGCCAACCCCTGGTTACACTTCTTTCAGTAATACAGGGTACCAACCCCTGGTTACATTCCTTCTCAGTAATACAGAGTGCCAACCCCTGGTTACACTTTTTTCAGTAATACAGGGTACCAACCCCTGGTTACATTCCTTCTCAGTAATACAGGGTGCCAACCCCTGGTTACACTTTTTTCAGTAATACAGGTTTTCAGCCTCTGTTACACTCCTTTAAGTAATACAGGTTACCAACCTCTGGTTACACTCCTTTCAGTAATACAGGGTGCCAACCCCTGGTTACATTCCTTTATGTAATATAGGGTACCAACCCCTGGTTACACTCCTTTCGGTAATACAGGGTACCAACCCCTGGTTACATTCCTTCTCAGTAATACAAGGTGCCAACCCCTGGTTACACTTCTTTCAGTAATGCAGGGTGCCAACCCCTGGTTACACTCATTTCAGTAATACAGGGTGCCAACCCCTGGTTACACTTCTTTCTGTAATGCAGGGTACCAACCCCTGGTTACACTCATTTCGGTAATACAGGGTACCAACCCCCGGTTACATTCCTTTCGGTAATACAGGGTACTAACCCTTGGTTACACTCATTTCGGTAATATAGGGTACCAACCCCTAGTTATATTTCCTTTCGGTAATACAGGGTACCAACCCCCTGTTACATTCTCTTTCAGTAATACAGGGTACCATCCTCTAATTTCATTTCCTTTGGTAACATAAGTTACTTCCCCTCGTGGTTGCATATCCTCACATAGTTAGTTTATACTACTCCCGTTTATCTTCATTTCAACAAATTAGATACTTTAGCTTTCTCTAACTCACAAAATTTTCCTAGTGCCAAACTGGGGCAGAAAAATTTTGTTCGTTTTGTTCTTTTTTGATGGCTTTGCAGGCCTCGCCGCATAGCAAAAGTGACGATTAAAGCTTGCAGTTTCAGCTTTCTCATCAGAATAAAGAAGTTTTTCGGTCACAAGATAGTTGGAGTTAGCATGGATAATGTGTCATCAGCCCAGCTTCTCGAGTTTTATTTTCTCGAATTCTGATCTGGAAAGCAAGCAATCGAGAATGAGCCATGATATTTTCCTCAAAGAGCATCAAGATCCAATCTAAGGTCAACACAAGCGAGCAGGTCAAGAATCAAGATTTGACTCCACAAGGCACATAGATTAGGAATTTTGTAACTCTTAGTTTGCAGACATATGTAGTTCTTTCTCTTTTCCTTTTGATGTAATCGGCAAGTAACAGTAACAGCAACAACAGCAACAACAACAACAGTCTTAAATCTAGTGTTTGGTAATCCCAGCTACCAAATTTTTCTTGAACTACACGCGACCTGATTTTCTTATAACCCGGGATATGTAGGCTGTCCAAAACCAGGACTCGGTTGCACTCTTTCACTCTTTTCTCTTATTTCTTCCCTTTTGAATAATGATATGGTAAAAGTCAATCACATAGCTCACCTGTTTCTTTGCCTGAAAACTTTTCATGTTTCCAAGAAAAGAGGGGCATGTTGTGAGCACCTAATTTTTGACCATATTTGAGTTTTTATCACTTTTTTGTATTTAGTATTTTCTAGGTTTAATCTTGATATTTTAACTTTTATATTATTTTATTAGTAGGTTTTATTAGAGAATATATAATATTTTAAACAAAGTCTATTACATAAAAGGCGGAAGAATTTATTTTAAATCCTCTCATCTTTTCTTATTATATGTACACACGTGAGGAAAAGAAGACATGAAAAGCAGAGGGGGAAGATAGATCTGGAAAAGATAGAAAAAACAAGAGGAAAGAAAAAGCTCCTTCTATTTTCATGTCTTTTAGCTCTAATACCCTACTGTAGCAGCGTCTTTTCCCACCCATAAAACAGTCTCATTTTTACCTCAAAATCAGCCTTAAACTACCCTCAAAATCCAGCACCCTTTTACCTACAAAAACCAACTGAAACTACCCCCAAAATATAGCAAAAAATAGCAACGAATCTCACCCTGAATTTCAGCAAAAAGTAGCCCGAAATTACAGCAAAACTGTCCAAAAATGCAGCAACATAGCTGCAAAACCTACCTCCATTAACGCCAATTTTCAGCTTCAAAACTGCCGCAAAAACGCAGTGATTCTCCCTCCAAAAAACCAGCTTGCTAACATCACAAAACCAGCAGGAAAAAGCCACTCTTAGTCGCTAAAATCTGAGTGAAAACAGTCCGAAAAAAGTCCCCGACGAGGTCTTGGTTCGAGGTTCCGGCGTACGGTTAGTTACGAGTTGACGACGAAGGTTTCGTTTTTGTTTCTGGATCTCTTCACTTTGGATGAGATTATGTACAAGTAGGAGATTTTTTCTTATCAATATATTTGAAAACCGTTGAATGTTCAAGGTCCGTTTCCATGCTCTTATCAGTATTTCCATTAAAGTTTTATGTTTTGAATTATCGGTATGATTATGTGTTTAACTGTTGAATCAATATGAAAGTCTGAGTGATTTATTGCTCTCTGCTTCATCAAGGACAAATGCTATTGTGTTTTGAATCAATCTTTTACTAAGTGCATATCTTGTTTAATAGTTACTTTTGTCAAGTGGGGTTCTTATGGCTTTATGTTGGGTGTGAGTATTAATCATGAATTGGAAAAGTCAAATGAGCTATTGTTTGATTTGGTAGAGATCACGTTGGAGTTTAGCAAGCTTTCACTTTATTCCATTAATTTTCTTAAGTATAGATAAAGTAGAATGAATAAGTAGAATTTATTTTCTTGTCACATTATCATACATATACCCGGCATAATTGATACCTCTAGTAATCTTTAATAATTAATCTTATCTTTTCCGTAATTCTACTCCGTATACTTTGAGCCTTACAATAATCCCAAACTTAGCAAATAATTAAACAACTTTGAATAACGTAGTATGCTTTAGGTGTGGCCAATAATACATTATCGTGACTATGGGTACGATTTCCGTGGCATAATCATGGTACGTAATTCCAAATTCGAGTGCACATTTGTGTAACTTGACCTTAAATGCAAAGACATAATAAAATTATAATATTATTTACAATGTAATTTTGTCTTTCAATAATAAAGCAAGTATTAAAAGTGGATAGGTAAAACATGAAAATCATATAAATCACAGTTTGTCCAAAATTAATTCAAGCCAAGTTTTAAGTCAATAAAGCGACCGTGCTAGAACCACGGGACTCGGGGAATGTCTTACACCTTCTCCCTGGTCAACAGAATTCCTTACCTGAACTTTATTTTCGCAGATCAATAATAATAGAGTCAAACCTTCCTTTGACTAGGGATTCAAATAAAAGGTGACTTGGAACACCCAAAAAAAATCAATTTCAAGTGGCGACTCTGAACAGTAAAATAATCCCTACTCAAGTTTGTCACTTTAATTGAAAAAAATCTTTAACCCACAATCAACACACATTATCTTTTTGGGGTAGAAAAGGGGTGTGACATTTTATAGTGCAATTTTTAGTTTTTGTGTCAAACTTAGTCGCTACGAAAGCTAATAATAATAACAGGGCAGATGCACACTCATATTGGTCCAAATCTTGGCAGAAAATCCATGTACAAGCATGGTATATAAGCTAAGTAATTAGCACTTTCTTTTTCTTCTTTACATCAGATCCTCTCATCATTGAAATAATCTTGATAGCTTATAAACTCTCTTCANTAGTTATTTTGTTGCCTTACATACTCAGTACATTATTTTTACTGACGTCCCTTTGCTGGGGACGTTGCATTTCATGCCTGCACGTCCTGATAGACAGCTGGATAGACCTTCCCAGTAGACAGAGCCAAATATCAGCTTGGTTGGTAAGCTCCACTTCCCCGGAGTTACCAGGTCTAGACCTTGGAGTCCGTTATATATATATACAGGTTTGATGGGTAGGTCGAGGCCCTGTCCCGACCATGATACAGTTCAACTATCTCTAGAGGCTTGTAGACAAGTCCTGTATAGTTTGTATAACACTATATGAGTTTTTGGGTATGTTTACCCCTTAGATGAGACAAACGATATTTTCAGATGATTCAGAATATGGCCTCATTGGCCTAGGTTGAGAGTTATTCCTCTAGAGTTCACATTTACAGAGTGGTACGCTCGGGCCGAGTATGGTACCGGGTTCCGGCCATGCCCCTTCAGGTTTGGGGCGTGACAGAAGCACTTATCCCAACTTCCTCCATGAAAACCTTCGAACAATTGCATCTCTCCCGAGCTCCCCAAGTCCAAAATTGAAAATGGAAAACAAAACCTCGAGCTGGGGTTTTCTACCCAGTTAAAACCGTTCATGCGGTCCTAGTTCCGCACCTACGGAACCGCGTCTGCGAACCGAGCTCCGCTTCTGCGGACATTCATTAAAATCATGACTCCGCTTTTGCGATCACTTGACCGCATCTGCGGTCATCGCAGATGCGGGACCCAAGCCACACATGCGATCCTTCTGCGCATCTGCGCCTCCCAAACTGATTCTGCGACCACCGCAGATGCGGGATTTCCATCGCACATGTGGTCTGAGCCCAGGTATCCCTTAGCCGCACCTGCGGCTCTTCCTTCGCTCTTACAGCCTCGCACTTGCGGTTCCCACTTCACAAGTTCGGAAGACACCAGAACCAGCAGCTTTAACTGCATTTTATCAACTCCAATTCTTTCGTTAACCACCCGGAATCACTCCGAGGCCATTGGGACCTCAACCAAATGTACCAACAAGTCATATGACCCCATACAAACTTAGTCAAACCTCTGAATCACCCATAATAACATCAAAATACCAAATTACCCTCGGATTTAAGCCTAGAAACTTCTAAACTTCCAAATTCTGCAACTAACGCCGACACTTATCAAACCACGTCCGAATGACCTCAAATTTTACACACACGTCACAAATATAGTTTTGCCTGATTCAATTAAGTGGGGGCGTCCATCTGGAGCCAAAACTATTTGAACTGACCGTGTAATATTCTAGGAAAAATACACTAATTTACTTATGTCGGTGAACCGAGTCTATTGATTGACAAAGATGTACTGATTTTTAGTAATAGTGATATAAAAGGCATTCTGCAATAGATTCATCAAAGAATAATTCACTATCCTTAGCTATTCAAGAGAACTTAGTAATCTTTAAAGGACTATTGTATTCCTATTGATGTTTTATCTTAAGTCTTTTATTCATACGCTTTTAATGGCTTAATAAGTCTGGAATGAACATCCCTACCTGTTTATGTGAACTGAAAAAAATGCAGCTTAGGCATGCTGGAAAATATTACTTGATCACCCTTTAACATCCCAGCTAAATTGTTCTCTGAAACATTACGTCGAACACTCAAATCCTTAGAAAAGAACAAACTGCCTTGTTTGTGTTTGTCACTGGTAGTAGCTGGAATTATTTGCTGCAACAATTTAGGATCATTCAAAGTTGAAGAGTTTATATTTTATCCCTCCTCATCTGCTAGGATTTCAAATCTGTTTGGACTGGTGACAGTTTGTAGAACATTTTGTCAATCACCTGAACCCCTCATCTTTTGCTGCTGTATCTTCATACCTGTAGGTGTGTTCTACCTAGCAGAAGCTTTCATTACCACAGTCCAATCATTCCCAGTTGTGCTCTTATTAAGTCCATCTTCATTAGAGAAAGTTGAAACATGTTCATGTCCCTCCAATTAACAGTTGCAGCATTAAAAGGAGATGTTTGTGCACCAGCGTTGGCCTGAATACCTGCTGATTTTTCAATTGTTTCAGCAAGTGCTGCAATAGGTCAAACTTGCACCCCGACTCTCTTCTCGNCAAGATTAGTAGTATTAGCAATCGGAGAATTTTTTTAATGAAATTTGGGTAGTAAGGATTAATAATAATGTCTAAGTTGTTAGTTGTAGTAAGTAATATGAAGTTAAAATTAACGGAAAGGACTATATTTACCCTTCTACTATCGAAAATAAGTTATATTTGTCCTCTGTTTCAGTTCGTTAATAAATCTACTCTTACCGCTATACTTTAGGTTTGTTTTTACCCCTCATCTGTTAGGGGTCGTTTGGTAGGATATATAAGAATAGTGCGGAATAAGGTGTATTAGTAATGCAAGGATTAGTAATGCATGGGTTAGTAATGCAAGCATTAGTTATGCAAATATTATTTCTTATCTATTGTTTGGTGTGGTGTATTAAAAATTATAATGCATTGTAGAATTTTAAAGAAAAATAGATGTTTACAAAAATGACCTCCATATTCTCTATCTTTAAGGGACTTTAAGGACAATTTAGTCTTTAACTATACTAATGCATGCATTAATAGCATTGGTATTACTAATGTCATAGTTTTGTATGCATTACTTATACATAGGATAATACCAAGTATGGTGTATAACTAATATAAGTATTAGTTATACAAAGTTTGAAAAAATGTACCAAACAAGATATTAGTAATGCACAGAGTTAATGCTTGCATTATTTTTTCTAATACCTCATACCAAACGACCCCTTAGTTCTTCCATCGCAGCCGGAAAAGTCCACGTGGGCATGTTGTTATTGGACGAAAAGATCCAACCCAGTCGCTAATGAATAACCTGATCCAACTACCTAACCTAACCCCTATCGACCTAAAACCTCTAAAATTAAATCCCTAAATTAAATCCTCCTTCTTTAATTTCTTCCTCTAGCTGTAAGAAAAACAATATTGGTCCATACGTGAAAGAAGTCATTTTTCTCTCAGAAAATATTATTATTTGGTAGCTAAACGCAAGAAAACAGTTTCCTTAGAAAACTTATTTTTCTAAAAATGACTTTCGTCGTACCTAACACAAATTTAAAAATTATATGTATTTCTTTTACATTGCATTTGCAAACTTACTTTGGGCAATATGGACCATGTTTTTTGTTGCTGTTGCCTGTGGTTCATGCTCAAGAAAAATATCAGTTCTTGAAGAGTTCACACAGCAATTTGGACCTATTATTGTCACAATAGTAAAGATTAAAAAAAATCAAATAAAATGGAAAAGAATGAATTGGTGAAGAGTTGAAATACCAGTGAAAGAAGACATCAAGTCACTGCAATTGTTGCCTGGATCTTGGCAGATTTTTTGCAAAAGTTTGACAACAGCATCTCTATTTAACTCAGCCATAAGTGCGAAATTTCAAATTAATTTAACAAACATGAAGTGTCTTTTGATGTGAGATAAATAACTACATAAAAGAAGCAATAACAAGGGTTCTTTATTTGTTTATTTAAAGTGCCACATGAATATTACATAAGGTAAGTTAAGAACGTGGTTATATAATATGTGTTTTTCATAGCAAGATTTTGGTATTTTTGGGCATTTTTTTTAATATGCTATATAAGCTAGCATTGAGTTATTTTTCCATTTCAAGATTTAGTTTTATGACTTTTGTGTAATTTAAAGTCTGGATGATGATTCCAACTCCGATATGTATGTTGCGAGAACCTCATGATCCTTTCGTGTGGAAGGGAAGAAAGAAAGAAGGCGAATACGAATACAAAAAAGCGGTTCATGGGAACCCCAAAAAAAGGGGGATAGAGAGCGCGAAACAAGCTTCCAAGCATATAAAATAATTTCTACCTATATATTCCATGGCAACAGATATAAAGTATATTCGTTAATGTTTTAAACCCAGGAACATTTCCATTGCCAATAATCTTCAAAAAAAGATTACCATGATTTCCGAACGTCCCGAAGAAGAGTTGAGGCATGAAATTAAACTTATCTATGATTGCTTGTTTTCTTAAATAAAAATAAAAAGTAAAAAAACACTAATGAAATGGGTGGAATATCTTACCCTCTTGGATCAAATTCATGGATTCCCAACCAATACAAACCCTGTAAAAAATATATAAAATGAAATGTGATCCAACTTTATTGAAATGAATCCAAAAACACACAGAATTGGAAGAAAAAAAATTAGCTCTTTACTTCAGCTATAAAATCTTTAGATGCACTTTTTGCAAGAGGAGATCTCACTTGCCCCAAATAAGCAATAGGACTTAACAAAGCTGCTGATCTCAACATGTCTACCAACTTATTTTGTGAAATTGCAGCCAATGCAATTAGGGTCCCCTGCCACCAACAACAAAAAAATCCAATTTAGTTATTTCTTAAATATATTACTTATGTGTTTACATTTTGAGAAGGTTAATTTCATCGATGATCATTAAATCATCTGCCTATCACACCAAAGTCATAAAACTATTTTTTGTTAATTAAAAATAATTTAATTTTTTTCTACATTATTCGAAAAATCAAATGCCTAGAAAATCCATCGGCAGAAACAACAAATCCAAATAGCATGCCACTTTTGCTGATTTGGCATACATATTTGGATTTTCGAGTGACAAAAGTTAGTTTTTGTTAATTAAAAATAACTTAATTTTGTAAATTAAAAATAATTTAAATTTTTTCTACATTATTCGAAAAATTAAATGCCTAGAAATCCAGCAGAAGACACAAGAAATCCAAATAGCATGCCACTTTTGCTGATTTGGCATGCATATTTGGATTTTCGAGTCGGCTGATAGATTTTTGAGTGACAAAATTTAGTTTTGCGACTTTGATCCAATAAATTAAAAGTTTAATGGCCATACGTAAAACGAACCCTATTTTTGAGATTAAAAAATAAAGTATGTGCAAAATACTAAAAATAGACACTCACGAAAAAAAAGAAATTACCAGAGAATGGCCAACATAGTGTAGCTTTTGGCCAGTTTGATCATGAACATACTTAAGTGTAGCAGGTAAATCGAAATCCACCAATTCATCCCATGACCATTCCCAATATGCCTGTAAATAATTAACGAACAAATTAAAATTATAGAAATTGTTTTTTTGGCTAATTTAATAAATATTTATGTATGTGAGACAGGACTGAACAAAGAATGAAACTGAACTGGATCTTGAGGACTAAGTGAAGTATGTCCTTGGCTATATTTAGTTCCTCTTGTATTTGCAATCCAAACATCATAACCTTCATCAGCTAAAATGAAAGCTAAAGATTGATCTGGAGGATTTAACAGCCATGTAATTCCATCCTGTAATTGTAAAAACTCATTGGAAAAATGACCGCTACAAAAATAATAGCCAAAAGAATGTATAAAATTTGTATATAATATATATACATTTCGTATGTTATATGTAAAAATTATGCACTTTTTCCGCTATCTGGTACGGGTTAGAAGTGATAATACCCCAAACTCATTTAGCAGAACATGAATTTAACCTCTATTTTTCGTCAAAGGTCAATAAGCTCTTCTAGAAAAAGAAAAAAAAACATATTTTGCTTGAAAAAAATTCCGTACATACATAAACTTTACGGATGATCTATTATCCCTTTGTTTTTGTCCAAATGATATCCATTATATTCAGAGTCGGACCCAAACTCAGGATCTTTACATAATGGGATCTTTACATAAATAGCCGGTCATATTAATTCTTTACTTTTTCTAGCCATATACATAGATTATATATTGATTGTACACAATTATACACATGTAACACATAAATTATGCATATATTATATATTCACCTGCTATTTTTAGTTTAAGTGGTAGGGTGAACGGCTATTTGGGTTAATTCTTCCCCAGGATTTGGCTGATGCAGGGGCACCATGATATTTACTATAATTTTATCACTACTTATAAAAACGGGTACGGGGGGCTATGCTAATATTTGACTATTTCTTAAAGACATGTACAAGTATATATGAAGCTTTTGCCGAAGTTTTCGGGTGACGGTGACCCCTCAACCTATATGTCTCCGCCTCTCATTATATTTATCCTTTCTGAAAGGTGACATGGCTAAGAAAGTATTTTCACTTGCCTAAACAAGTGTGAAAGATTCCAGGACTTTGGTTAGTGGTAAGAGTATAATATGCGAACTAATCGCACATTATGAGTTTGAACTCCATTGCCGACAAAAACATAATATTTAAGTTAAGAAGGATAGAGAGATGGACCAATTATCTAATCATTCTAACCCGTACACCACTAACTCCCAGGGATTTCTTGATTATGAATAAAAAATCATACTAAAAAGAATAAATATGTTTATCTTGAACAAGCCAAAGATTAAATATAGAGAACATAATTAGAATCAAAGTGAAGAATTATAACCATCAATAGTCCATGTTGCAGAAGAACAGGTGGCTTAGTTGCTGCCTTTCCAGATATTCCCTTAGGAATTCTCTGTAAACTGAGAATATAACCATCCTCAGTTGTCACCTAAAATTAAAAAATAAAAAAACAAATTATTAAAAAAATTACAAGGTGAATATTATATTTTTTTTTGTAAACTAGGAAACTCATAGCTGTTACCCTTCGATAGTGGTCTGGGTAAACTACGTCTAGTGCAATAGCTCGCAAACCACACTAGAGAGTTAAATTGCATTAGACAAGTCTCATGCGACCAGAGGCGGAACCAATATTTGAAGCTTATGAGTTCGAGATTCTAATTCTTTTAAGTTATTGTGCTAAATTAATATTTTATGCATATTCAATGAATTCTCTTGAGACAAATACAAAGTTTAGATCAAAGTTATTGGGATCAACCGAACCCGTAACGTTAACACTAGCTCCGCCCGTGCTTGCGACGAGCTCGATCGAGAAAGGGGGTTCAAACCAACAAAGTGCATTTTATATAATCACCAATTTTGTAACTTTTCTAAGATCTTGAACATATACCTTATGTTCTTCACAACCATAGCCTTGAGTTTCCACCATAGAAATACAAATACCATCTTCATTTTGATCACTCAATATTTGCAATCTATTCCTAGCTGCAGAAACTATTGATACAAAGAAAATAACTATTAAAATTGTAGTAATTAGCTTTCTAATTAAAGCCATAACTCAAGCTATTCACTTTTGTGTTTTTCTTATATCCAAAGTTTAATTTTGTTTCCTATTTATAATAGTTGTAATTAGTGCCAATAAAGAAGAGACAGAAAAAGGTATAAAGTTAATTCCAAGAAATGGTATTAATCAAAACTTCTCTTTTCTATCGGTAATTCGGTATATTGTCTTTTTATAAGTTCAGGTTGTTGTCCTAACGATGTGTAGTATTATCAATTTATGTCAATCTTTAATTTTGTTGTTAACACTGACTAATTATAGTACGCAACAGTTAATTGGATTTAATTCTAATACAAATTTAATAATGAAGTTTTAACATAACAAATAGCAAATTTTAAAAGGTATCCAAAACATTAATATTTCTACCAGTGAACTATCACTCAATTATGAAAAGAAAAGTTGTTTGCTTTTGAATTTTCAAAAGTCAATTTACAGTTTGGTTAAGTTTGGAGTTTAGATATTTAAAAACTATGTGAAAAAAAGAAGTATAAGTTGCTAGGCAAAATGAAGAAGTAATAAACTTTAGAACATCAGTAATAATGTAGGCCAGAAGCTAAGCGTTTGTTTGGACTTTTGATTGTGGTTACATGTTGTATTGTATCATATTGTTACTTTAAATATAATGTTTGTTTTTATTGTTATTTAGATTTTATTGTATCGTATCGTTAAATCCGTCGTTACATAACGACGAAAGTGTCGCTTTATGTAACGATCGATTTGGTGTGGTCGTATCGTTACCTTATTTTTCTCTCTCATCTTGCATTTCTATATTATTAAATAGTTCTACTTTATTCTTTATCATACATTTTTATATAATAATTATACCTCATACCTCACTTTTTCATTGTAATATTACAAGTTTATTTTTCATATTGTTGGTTCATGACATCATAAAACAACAATACAATCTATCCAAACATTGTATTTCTCTCATTTGCCTCACATAAATATAATTTAAGCAGTTTTGGGCCTTTAAGTTTGCTAAAAATAAGTGGGTATTTATTATTTCGTCAAAAATCTAACAAAATTTGGCTATTAAATTTAATGAGGATTGTAAGAAAAATAACTGAATGAGGTTCTTGTTAATTATTTTGCACAACTCTTTAAATCTAATAATAAAGTTTGACTAACATTAAAATATCAAAAATTACAAAAATAAAAAATAATCAAAACTGCTCGAGAGCAGAGACAATTTTAAAACCATTTTTGTCATTTTCTCCATTTAATAGCAACTCGAAGTTTTAAAACGTACAAATCCAATTGTTTTATGCTTTTTCTAGCCCTAGCAGAGAGAGAGAGTGTGTATATTATATACACATATATAGAAACATATATATATTTGGGAGCATTCTCTACAGATTACAGCGACTCAATTTGGGCGGATTGGATCTCATTTGAAAGGTAAAAAAATGTACTTTATTTGCAAGTATTTTCTGTACTTGCTAAATCAGTTTATATAAATTGATACATTTACAAACACATGCATATATTTTTATTTGTTTTTTTTTTATATTGTGTTTTGATGTAAAGCTATTGGATTCTTTTATTTGTTGTATTCTGTTTTGTAATTTCGTTCGCGGTGATCTCAAAGTTTAGTTTCGGTATATACAAGTTTTTTATGTGATAAGTTGGGAATGAGGTGTAAAAACAGATGTTTGGAGTTGATTTTTGCTAATCATTATCCATTTGACTATTTAGATTAATGTCGAATACATGGATTAGTGGATAGTGAATAAATTGATTGGTTTGAAGTTAATTACCATACATAAAAGGGGCCACGCGATGCATGAAACATCCTGTGTTTACGTCGGGTCGACGGAAGGATCACACCCTTGCCTATCATGACGTAAGCATCAGTGACTAATTCAACGGCTCGAACCCCTAACCTGTAGGTCTTAACATAATGCATATTAATTAGGGCGTGAAGCAAGATACCACAATTGACATAGAATGCTTGTGGGCATGAGTTTTATGGGGACAGATTTTCTTATAGGTCATGGAGTTGATTATATATGCTGGTCTTCTATGAGTTCAGCCATTCTAGCAAAGTTTAAAGGACATATTCTTTGCCGATTCGGGGTTTTGATAAAAGATGCTGCAGAGATTATACATCAAGTATACATGTGGGAGGAATCGGCATAATTAATAGGAATGTTTGGGAAATGCTCTGAATATAATTCATTGTCTATTTTAAGATAGAAATATGGTTGAGAAAAAAATATTTTCTTTTAATAATTAAGCCCGACGAGCCCCTCTCTGATATCGAAAGAAACCCCTTACCCCTGAGAGGAAGATGCTGACCGAGATGGAGTTGGGAGCAAACGTAGAGTTTATCGTGTTTCGGTGTTGCCAAAAAAACATCGAGGCATAAAATAAATGATACATATTATGTGTGATTTCCCGGGTCGATGTGTGAGTTGTGATCACCTTTGTTAAAGTAAACCTTTGCTTTTTCCACACATATTGAATACCCCCGCTGGTTCGTGGTTGGGAAGGTTTTGTTTTAGCAGGATATCAAGGAAATTTTGTATTTTTTGTGGTGATTCAAGGGTTTGTGCATCTTAATCCTTGAAAATGGATTTATTAATTTGGTGGCTGCTCTTATAAAGCGATATAACAAAATGTGCCAAAACGAGATAGTTTGATTGAGAATCTCAGAGGAAAGGTTAACATAAGAAGTTCTGCTCGGAAAGGAAATGATAAACTATGTCTAGTAGTATAATATGAAAGGCCTCTGCTAGGCTGGTTTTTGTGTGATAACTAAATTGGTTTAAGCATGGAGATTGATGATACTACCTGCTTTTTTTATAGTGAAAAACTGTTTGTTGATTCTTCTTTTCAGTCTCTTGTATCTGCTCTTTGTTGATAGGTCATAGACATAGGCTGGATTGCTATGAAGTTTACTAATTGAATCCAGATATGTTGATATTACGTGCTTTCTCCCTTCAATTTGTATTGGCTGTAGGTATTGAAAGAGAAGGGGTAGATGAACTTTTTATTAAATTTTTTAAAACTAAAAATGGAAAAACATTTTCTTCTCAATGTTTCTTGATAGGACCAAAAAAAACCTTGCTGTTCACCTATTTGGTTTAGCAAATATGATCGGATATTCTGGGCAGAAGTGACCTCATCTGATCTTTGTGAGCAGATATGTTTCTCTTTTGAATAATGTGCATTTCATTAGAGAAGTCATATGATTGATTGATTGATCAATACAGAGATGAAGTATGCATAAAACTTACTATATAGAGCATTAAACTTGAAAAGCTAGTAATAAACAAGTCTATATATGTACTCGAAGGACTTGTGAGACGTGGTGACCAAGCGTTGAGCAAGCACATTGCATACATTTGAAAGGTAATAAAAGACCTATTATCGAAAACTCTTGTGGTGTCAAGTAGATTTTGTGACACTTCGCAGTGTTAACACTTGTTAGACTCTTATCCTTCCATTCTTAATCTCATTGTTCTGTTATTTTATTAAGTGATTCATTAAATATTTTTGTGCACATATTAGTTGTTGAAAAACTCAATCACAAATGCCCACCTGTCTATATTTGGTTGTGAATATTCTTCTTCCTGTAGAGAAGTACTGAGAATTTGATTTCTTGATATGACAGTAACTAATAAGACATGCTTTAACTTTAATCATTACACAAAATATTGTAATTGCATTTTTATCAAAAAAATATTGCAACAGCTACTAGCCGATTATTTCATTTCAGGTGCATGCATATTTTGAAGAATGGCAGATGACATTTCAAGCTTTTGGGGTCCTGTAACATCTACTAAAGAGTGGTGTGAGCCAAATTATGTCCTCTCCTCCTATATTGCAGAGTTCTTTAATACCATCTCAAATGTCCCATGCATTATTCTGGCTTTGATTGGTCTTGTGAATGCCCTCAGACAGCGGTTTGAGAAAAGGTTCAGTGTCCTCCATATGTCAAATATAATACTTGCCATAGGGAGCATGATTTACCATGCCACGTTGCGGCAGATGTAAGCACTTTTTCCCTTATTTCCCATTTTGTTTATCCATAAACAATGATGGTTTGTTGTTGTGTATTACCTACATGCAGGAAGAAGGTAATCCATATTATTGACATGATTACCTATAAAATGAAAATGTAAGTCAGTCTCATTCTCTATATTGAACTTTCGAAGAAGCTTATAGAATGCCAGGATTTTTGAAAGCCTAAAGCTTGGTAAAAGGAGCTAGACCTTAGTACTTATAAGAAGCTCATGCTTTGGTTTAAGCTTTGACAGAAGATCATTTATTGTCTTTTTTGGTGAGTTAACTTGATAGGAGATTATTAGGATGAGCTTTTCTCTTTTTCTTTTTCTTGCATCTTGTCTTGGAAGTAATTTATATCTCTTCAACTTGCCCATTCAGCACCATGTCTTTAGGATAGGATGGTGCTGTTGTGGATCAATCAACTTTTTTTCCCTCTTTGCATCAACCAAAAGATTTGATTAAAGAAAATTGATTTATCCCCAAAGAAAAGAGGCTACGTCAAAGTGGTCTTAATTTGCAAATTAATGAAACCTTTAAAAATATAGTTACCTATCTACTCAAATAGGTGTTTTTATACTTAAAAACATAATAAGGGAACTTTTAACCGTTAACATTGGACTCTGGGGTCAAACGTCTCCTTCATCTTTCTCTCCATAATGTCCAAAAGACTTAGAAAAGAATAGCCCCTTCACAACTTTTCCTCTAAAGTTCCAATTTGCTTTACCTCCAAGTTGCTACTTTTCAACACTGGAGCCATGTAGCTCCATTGGATATTAAATAGAAATGTACACCTTTAGCCGCTCCTAAAAATAATAGCCGACAAAATGTATATTTTATATATATATATATATATATATATATATATGTGTGTGTGTGTGTGTGTGTGTGTGTGTGTGTGTATTTATGCAAAATATAATACATATTTTATACACTTTTCGGGTAGCAAATGCAATTAGTTTCAGCCAACTAGCCAGTTTTTGTATTTTGCCTCATTAAATATTGCATAAACGAATGCCCACAATCTCATGTTGTCAATTTGCTGCATTACAGGATAAAGCTGACTATGAACTAGATACCAAGTTGACCTTTTTTATGATCCCTCTTGCTTGTTGTGTGAATGGTGTATGTCTAATATTTGAAGTTTCTTGTTAGATATAAACTGTTTCTTGCTTTATGCATACAGATTGGATGGAAAGTCATATATCCAGATTGTTGGATAATACTTTGTAATATGTCTTGAATTTGATGGTCATTCTAATGCATTATGATCCCTGCTTTAAATTGATAGGCAACAGCAAGGTGATGAGACACCCATGGTCTGGGAAATGCTTCTCTATTTTTACATCCTTTATTCACCAGATTGGCATTACAAGAGTACAATGCCCACGTTTTTATTCCTTTACGGTGCACTATTTGCCATTGCGCATTCACAGATTCGCTTTGATATTGGTTTCATGCTACATTATGCACTATTGTGCCTTCTTTGCATTCCTCGCACATATAAGTATTACATTCATACAGAAGACAAATCTGCAAAGCAGATTGCAAAGTTATATGTGGCCACTTTATTACTCGGAGCTGTTTGCTGGCTGTGTGATCGTCTATTCTGCAAGGACATTGCCCGCTGGTACTTTAATCCACAGGGTCACGCACTATGGCATGGCCTTATGGGTTTTAACGCGTACTTTGCTAATACTTTCTTGATGTATTGTCGCGCTCAGCAAAGAGAATGGAATCCAAAAATCAAGCACTTCCTCGGATTTTTTCCATACGTAAAAATCCAGAAACCAAAAGTTCAGTAGCACAAGTTATTAACTCCGAGCCTTGTCTGTAAGGGGGAAAAAAAGTGGCATATGAAAAATGGCGCCAAGGAACAAGTGCCAGCACCCGTGATTCTTTCTCTTCTCCGTCTTGCAGAATTTTATGTAAATGAAAGTTTGAATTAGTTTTGGCTTTTGGGTAGTGATCAAAATTTTGACTGTAAAATTAGTGTTCTCCCGGTGTACCATATATTTATACTCCAACAGAAGTCTGACATGGACTAACTAGTAGTCTTTTCCTAATGTTTTTGCTTTTGCATTTTAGGGAACTGTTTTAACATTGTTTATTTTGTCATTACGTAAGCTTATCTGGCAATGCATGTATGGATAGTCAAAGAAATCTTTAGGTTTTCTGTTTTATGCTTCTATTGAACCGCCTCATCTTCTTGTGCCGAGGGTTTATCGTAAACAGCATCTCTACACTCGGGTAGGAGTAAGGTTTGCGTACACTACTTTCCCCACATCCCACTTGTGAGATTATATTGGATTGTTGTTATTGCTTCTATTGAACAACCTAACCCTATAAAAAGAAAGAATCTATGCACCATGCCCTTGTCAGTGTAATAGCTAAGGGCTGATGTTCCAATTGCCATTTGGTAGAAGCATTTAGCCAAACAGATTAACGCGATTCTCATTTGATAGCCCACACTCTTGAGTTTACTTATAAGCATTAAGCACTAGAGCGAGAAAAATACACTTTTCACTACAAAGCATCCCAAATCTGTCTGACTGTAAAATTACCAGACTTGGTTATTTGGGAATAAAACAGATAATTTTCTCAAAATTGTTCCCAGGAGAGGGGTTGAGTCCACAAGGGTGGTAGATGAACTACAAACTAGAGGCTAGATAATGAGATATCAAGTTTACATTTTGGAATTTATTGAAATCAACTCCAACGGATAACACAACACTTCGATCAAAGTCGTTCGAGAAGGGAAAAAAATCAAAGTTGAATAGCATCACAAATAACCTCAAGTGTCTTTTTCTCCAACTCTTTTTCATCAATCCATATAGAACTTTGCCGTCGTACAAGGTCGCGTTTATCTTTCTTCTTCTCTGAGAACTTCATTTCCCTCATCCTCCAATATTCAAGCTTTTCCTGTCTTTCTTTAAGCTGAACATAATAATTAAACACACATGGGATTTTAGTTTATACTTGATTGAGAATATATGCAAGCAAAGCTATATACATTTCAGAAATACTCAAGACTAGAGCAAACTACGCTCTAAAACCTAGTTTAGAGTTGTACCTGCTAATTGAAGTGAAAGTATCCTATCCAAAAAAAGGGGGTGGGGGAACAAAAGAATACTAACAAATGTTGTTAAAGGCTCCCTTTAAGCCCTTAAACAAGATGCAGAGTCCTGAGGACTATGCCTCACTTAGGCAGTGTTTTAGTAAACAAGGCTCCAAGGCATATGCCTCATCGTGCATGGATTTGTCTTGAAGAGGGCACAATGTGATATACTATTAATTACTAAGGAATCACACATCAAAAGATTTTATTTTTATTTTTTATGACGACACATCAAAAGATTATATTAAGAATTTGAAAAACACCTGCTAGATGGAAAAATAATACCCTTGCTTACCCATTGAACGTCCAAGTTTTATTGGCTATTAAGGTGAGAACACGTATAGTTTTAATCTTACTCAAAAGAACATGAGCCACAAGTAACATTTGATTTGTTTGGATTTAAAATAAGGATATAAGTAAGAAGAAGTCCAAAAAAAAGAGAAGAATCACATCTAAATACTTGTGTTGTATAACATGATTTACAACTTCCAATATCAGGCAAATAAAAATAGGACACTATTCAGAAAAGATAGGAAAAGGATATTGCACATATAATTAACGACTGAGAGAGTTCACAGAAGATAGTCAAGGACTAACAAATGATGCAAAATATACATTATGAAGTACAGATTATGATGATCCACTCTATTCAAACTCGTGTTGAGGACAAATGACCTCCTCAAATATTCAAATTTATTCATCATGCACTAAGTTCAAGGTAAAATATGGAGCAAAAGACAAAGCCAGATGACAAGGCACATTTACTTTCAGTAGAGTAGTATTCACCCATATAATAAATATAGTGAGAGATGGCGGGCCTGTAAGAGTTTTTGATCATCTCAAAAAGAGTATCTTTTGTTAATTCAATAAAAAGAGCCTATGGGTGAATTTCATCAAGCAGTGTGCTTACAGTCCTAGCATTCTCTAGAGTTCAAGTGATAGCTCCGAAGTTGCAAAAATCACATGTTGTTCTCTTGGAAAAGTCTGCTTGGGAAGAATTCATTAAACATAAGCTATTGGTGTACTTCAACATTACCATGCTTACTAGTTCATTCGGCTATATGAATCCTTTACATTTATTTCTCCCTATTTGGCATGTGTATTGTGAGGATTGGCCTACCAGTCGAAGCAGTGGGAGATTCAACATGAGTTTTGCGGTACACAACCAACAATTTTCGACTCAAACACTGTGTGTGTCAGAGAGAGTGAGAGACCAACAAATATAGATAGAGCTAGATATAAATTTGAAACGCATAATCCCCATTCAGAACCTATGATACCTTGAGAACCAATCTATAAATCATTATATCAACAAAACTAGTTGAATTCTCCCAATCCGCCTTAACTTTAATGCGCGCAGTGCCTAATACTTGTGTTGGAGAAAGGTGACAATTACCCAGTAAACTAGTTGAGTTGCTTGCGAATTGGCCTGTCGCCTCATAAAATAAGACATATTGCAATGCTGACCATCAATTACCATAACTGACTGTATATTCAGACTCGGAATTGACAATTTTAACAAAGAATAAAACTTAATATAATAACAGCAAATAGACATATACTTTAGTGTCAGCTTAAACAAGCTTTTAGCAATGCCTCCATATATTATAGGTCTATCGAGATACAACATAAGTAAGAGTGAAGTGGAAGGGGCTCTACATAAACCATCTACACATAAGAAAAAAAAAATCAAGCATTTGAAAAACACCTGCTAAAGGGAAGAAAAAATACTAGTTGCTTACAATGAATGTCTAAGTTTGACTGGTTACTAAGATGAGGTGGGTGCATAGTTTTAATCTTAATCAGAAGAACATTTGAAAGCCTCAAGTAACATTTGATTTGATTGGATTAAATAAGGAAAAGTAGTATTTAGATGTCAAAAAAATGACTAACAAATCATTATTGTATTGCATATTGTGATTTAAAACTGTAGAGATTAGGCAAATCGAGAAATGACACTGTTTCGGAGAACAATAATAACAAGAAAAATTAAGCATATACAAGTAATATCCAAACTTTGTAAAAGTAAAAACAAAAAAAAAAATATTAATCACATACCAGGGTTTTGCGGAACTCCTCTTCAGCAGCCTCTCTTTCCATCGCCTTCGCTTTTTTCTCAGCGGCCTTAGCAGCTTTACGCTCCTCATTAGCAATCCTCTGAGCCTCCTTTTTAGCTTCAGCTTTTCTCATCTTCTCAATCCTCTGAAGTTCCATTTCTTGTATATACTCTTTCCGTACCTCCTTCACCTTTTTCGCATATTCGCGGCGTAAAAGGGCGAGTTTAGCCTCCGCCTCCTTAGGATCCTTAGAAGCTGTCCATGAATTCAGATAGTTACTCGGCGGAAGGAACTCGTGGTTGCGCTGGTGGTGGTTGTGGTGCGACGGTGCGGTGGTGGAGGAATCGGCGGCGGCGGTGGAAATGGATCGGAGATAGGGTTTTAGGGTTTGGGATGGGATTTTACGGAGGAGCTGCCGGGAAAGCGACATTTTTGTGCTCTATCAACGATGGTGCCGAATCTATTTCTGTTTTAAGTTCACTATGAAAATGACGTGTATCAAAATATATTTTGACTCAAAATTGAATGAAAATAATGTTTATTTTTTAGTTTGGTATAAATTTTTTAAAAATCAGTCATATTTGGCTAGTAGTAAACAAAAAAAATGATATCAAGACAATAATATATATTATAAAATTATTTATATTTATTTTATTTTTTATAGATACTTTTTTATATAATTTAATAAGTTTCTCCTTTCCCCCCTGTCATTCTCTTTTATAATCCATCATAAATTCAAGTAACGGAAAAATAAAACCGTCACATATTCCTTCACAGATTTTGTCCATATTGATAAATTCGTAATAAAGCCTTCACAAATCCTTTACATTTTCGTGGCGAACTTAGCTGAAGGGACAATAAACTACAAGTTAAACATTGCTCTATCTTGTATAATGGTATCGGATAACGTTTATTTTTATATATGGTGGATAAGATAGACATAGTAAACTACTAAACTCTGTCTGAATCTTGTAACTACTTATAGAAAACTCGAGATCAGGGGTGGCCCGAACATAAAGCGGATAAAGCAATTGCTTTAGGCCCCACATTTATGGGGACTTCATTTTTTGGTTATATCTAAATTATATATATAAAATATTGAGCAAAGTGAAGACAAGTAAACAACGTGTACACTGTGCACTAATAGCTATGACACTATTTGTTGAGCAAAGCGAACATTATCGTGGAGCTGCTGAAATGAAGACAACGTGACTAACTGACTTTGTCGAGCAAAGTGAAGATAACTGATTGTGTAATCTGGAATGAAGCATCAATGGTGAAATATGTATGAAATATAGCTAACAAGGAGGATAATCTTTAGGTGAAATGGGTCAACCACTTATACATAAAAAGCCAACCATGGTGGCAATACTCCCCACCGACTGATAGTTGCTGGTACTGAAAGAAAATTTGTTATGTCAAGGACAAATTTGCTGATGGTTTTGTTAATAATGGATGGCTAACACAAGGGGGCAAATACTCTGTGAGAAGTGGATACCAATGGTGCAAAGGATAAGCAGAGGAACAACCATGGTATCGAGAAGTATGGAGTCGGATGAATGTGCCTAAACATAGCTTCACTAGCTGGCTTGCCATGCATAGGAAGCTACTTACGAAGGAAAGACTGCTAAGGTTGAAAATAAGCCCAGACAATTGGTGTGTGATATGTGGAAGTCAAGCAGAAACCGTGGAACACTTATTCTTTGAATGCAAACTCTCAAAGAAATGCCTACAAATGATGCTGGAGTGGATGCAAAGAGGGACAATAAAACACGATCTAAAGGGGATATGGAAACAATCAATAAGAGGTATCAATGGGAAGAAATGTAGGGAGTTCATTACAGCAGTGATTGCATCGCTGATATACAAGATATGATGGGCAAGAAATGAAGCATTATGGAATCAAAGAGTGCCTACACCGAGAAGCA